TTCGATTCTGTCTTGATGAGGGTCAATGTATATTGCTCATTGACATAGAGCGCAACCCCTCCCCCTTTCTTCCCCACCCTGTCCTTTCTGTACAGCCTATAACCCTCAATATGTACTGCCCAGTCATGGGACGAATCCCACCAGGTTTCTGTTAGCCCTACTAAGTCATAGGTGTTTTGTGCAAGCAGGAGCGCTAGTTCATCCTGCTTGTTTCCCATGCTCCTGGCATTATTATATAGGCACTTGAGCCCTGTGACTGGTGCCTTTGCTGTCCCCCAGCTCCGAATCCCAAGGGGCCCCTTATTTCTTACCTGCTTATTGCTTACCTGTGCTATACTGCTGTCCGCCCCATTGCTTGCAGGTTCCCGATGTTCTCCTTCTTCAGGCTGGGCTGTCCTTGTGGGTGCCACATGGTTTGGTGGTCACAAGCTTCAGCTTGTGATCCAGTTCTGCAGGCGATAATGTGGCTTAGTGGATGATGGGTAACTAGCCTGAAGCTGAAAGAACCTGTTCTATTCATTTGTCTGCTCTGCACTTTAGCAGCTAGGTTAGACCTTAGGCTATGTGTATCACCTAGTCTCTACTGGCTGCTTTTATAACATGCTTTGAGAATTATGGAACAAAATGTATTAAATGAGAACTAAGTATCATAACTTTTGACCACATTTTAAATAGGTCTGCTAATTTACAGTTTAAAGCTAATTAGTTTTTATGATATCATGATTCATAGGTAGGCAGGCAAAGGTTCTTTGAGTAGATGTGATATCTTTTATCAGACCAACTGAGTAGTTGGAAAGAAATTCTTAGCAAGCTTTTGGGAGCAATCACGCTTCTTCAGGCATAGAGAGCCTCTACTGTTCTGAGTCTCCAAGGAATGAGAGAAGCTAAAAGCATGGCAGGATGTCAGTGAGAATGTAAATAGGTAGAAATTAGGAAAACGAAAAGTAGAGCAGGGAAGGGAGTGGGGAAGAAACTGTGCGGGGGGGAGCCAAAGGTGAGTAAGGGAAGAGCCTCTACAGCAGGGGTAGGCAACTTTTTTTGGCCGGAGTGCCAAAAAACCCACATCTACCTTGGAAGGTGCCGGAGTACCGACATGCCGGAGCCCAGAGCAGCTGTTTGCAGCTGGCCCACGGAGCCTGGGCTACTTGCAGCCTCCCAGCCCCATGCTGGGAGCAGCCTGGTCTCCGTGGCTGGCAGCAGCTGCTTAGAGCCTGGGCTGGTGCTGGTGTGCTGAGCAAAATGGCCTTGCATAATGGCCTTGCATACCACGTGCTGGGGGTTGCTGACCTCTGCTCTACATAAAGAGGCTGCCTGTGAAAAAGGAAATAGCTGAAAATTAGGAAGACAGAGGGCAGAAAAGTACGTGGGAGGGGGGAAAGAAAAGTGTAAGAGGTCAGGTTAGGCAGGTACCTGGTGAATCAGATGTCAGGCAGGTTGTAATGTGTCATAAATCCAATGTCTATATCGAGTACATGATTATTTGTATCCAGTAGATTTATGAAGTGACATTCGGAGGCTTGTCTACGAAAGGTGTTTTGTAGATTCCCTTTGAGGATTAGAACTGAGAGATGGGAAAGGGAATGACTGATTCATAGGTATGTATTTTGATGTCTTTTGAAGACATTGTTTTGTTAGAATCTTTTTTTATTTATTCATCCTCCAGTCTGGGAGTTGCGTCCTATCCTTTCATGAGGAAAACAACTCTTTTGAAAAGCCTATGTTTGTTTGTGTTTGCAGCTACCTGCGACTATTTTGGGACCTAAACCTTTTGTTAAGGAAATCTCTTTGTTCCTTAACCACAGCATACCATGAGAAACTCAGACCTAGAAGTAAAGTAAGACAAAATAAAAGCACTGGATTAGAAAGAGGCATTTCATCTGAAGGCAGGCAGAAGGCATTACAGACTAAATCAGAGATTAGAAGTCATTCAGAAATGAAACTACATAAACACTAGGCCTGTGCAAAGTGCCTGGATATATCTGCCCATCCCTGAGTGGCACAACTAGGCTGAATCCAGTTATCGCAGGAAAAAATGGAACTTAAACCAGCTCCTCCAAATAGAATAAACTGAGTCTGTTGCTTGTATAATCTGGCCCTTTACGGAGGGAGGGAGGATTGCAGTATTTTTTCTTCTAGGTAAAATAAAACAGGCAGGGTCCTAGGTAGAAATAAAAAGAACAACCTAATTTAAATTCCAGGTTTTTTTAAAAGTTGAGTTTATAACTGGACTTTTAAAGTTTTAGTTGACTCTTTGGCAGACCAGACCAGGTTGGCCCTTCCTGCTTCCTACTCCCTAAGGTTCTGTACTAAAACGTATGTTCTTACATGCAATTGTCTAACACATAAAACATGGAAAATATTTTTTTAAATCTGGAGAATCTATAGGTGTTCTTCGGAGATAGGTAAAAGCTGCTAAAACAGCCAAGCATATATGCACTTCTGTATCTATTCAGGGAGGTTGTATTCTCCCATTCTATGCTTTGCAGAGAGGTTGGAAGAACAGCAGCAAAGGGCTTGCTTCCAACAGCTTTCACTTTCACTCAGGCAGGTGGGTGTTTTTGCTAGCAGTCCTTTATTACTCTACATTATAAACTCTTATACAGGCTCTGAATTGCTCCTTTCACAGATGCGGTGGTCGGGAATTCAACTGGTTTAAATGTGCTTCTATTCAGAAGTTTTTAAATGAGAGAGAAAGAGCCCTTCCCCTGTTGGACAGTCAGAGATCCAAACATTTCTCTGCAACGTGGGAGATGAGCTTCCAGCCCCGCTCTGGGCACTTCAATGATAGATTTAATCTGAGTCTCCTACATTCCAAGGAATTGTCTTGACCACTGAGCAATGGACTGAATTTCTCTGTCACCTGAATAATTTATACAAAATTGAACATATCCAACTGGTAAACTTGAGAGAGATCCCACTCCAAAATCCCAGTACCCTCATGAGGAGATATTTACTTTGTATGATATAAAAACTCAGACTTGAGTTCCCAACCCCTGCTTTCTAGATGAAAGATGTTTGATATGATCTCTTTCTCTCTACCCAAAGACCTGAGAAAAGCTGAACTTAGTATGTTATTGTGAAAAGCAAATTGGCTTTTTCCAACAAAAAAGAAATATTGGAAGAATTTCGAGCAGGTTGATTCAGTGTTCACCTGTTCTACAAAAGTGTCCACTTTTCCTGAAGTCTGAAAGAGAGTTTTAGTTTTAGGTGGGATTTAAGGTGCAAACTGTGCCAGCATATCTTGTTGAAACCGAATAATCCTAGTTGCAACCGCTAACTGAGAAGTTATGTATTTGGGAGTTTATTGGTCAGCCTGACCCTGTAAAATGTGTGATGGGAAGCAGAAGAGAGTGCCCCAGAAAGACTTGCTCATTTCACTCCATAAAACTACTATGGTCATGAATGGATGAAAGCCCAATTTGAAAGGACATAAAACCTATAGCTGTAAGACCAAGGAAACTCTACTGCCACATGGTGTAGATGGAAATAATTTTAAAAATAAACTTTAGAAACATCAAAATCAGATTATTTTATTCTAGTTCTTTATTTCTCATTTTACATTCTTGAAAAGCTGAACTGATGGTTTTTCTTCTTAAGTTTCATGTTTTTAGTGGTTTATAAGTGTTTGTTCATGGATTTTAATTTTTACCCCCCTAAGAGGCTTCTTACTTAAAAGGCTCGCTGGAAAAGGAAAGTCCCGAGTCGCACATTCTTGCTGTGAGAACACCACAAACGTAAATGCAGTACCCGTAAGAAAGTATGCACTTTACCTGCAACTAATACTTCCTTCTAGTACACTGAACTTCCCCACATTTAAGGAAGCTGAACTGGTTTAACCAGGTTGTCCTCTCTCAGGTCTTGCCAGTTAGCGTGGCTGGGGTGTGTACTCTGAAGTCACTCAGTCTTTTTTTTTTTTTTTTTTTTTTTGAAAACGCCACCTGCTTATATATGAGATAAACTGGTTAACTTGCTTTTAGCCTTGAAATGTTTGTCCTGCATGTAGAAAGAGTTAGAATGAACTTGTTAATCCATGGAAAAATCAAAATAACAGTGAATGCTAAAACCTGAAGCAGTTATGTTGCAAAATGGCAAATGTGGATAGCACACTTATTCTTTATAGAAATACAATTTAGCTCTTGGAAACCAAACGTGTGTTTAGGCTCATTCTTAGTTTTAAGCATGCGAGTAATCCCATTTAAGCCCTTGATTCTATTCATATGAATAAAATCGCACATCTCAGTGTTGACAGTATCAAAGCCTTGTCATAATTTTGTAGGTTGCCTATATAAGGTGTCTGAACTCGGACACCTTCTCATGTGTAGCAGTGCTATCCACTGAAATTGTTGTCCTTCTCCTCCCCTCACTAGTCTCATGAATGCATACTTCTTTAGTACTACTGAATTTATGATTAAGGCTATTTTTAGTTAGGTTGCTGTATTTTAAGTAACACTACTATTGCCCTAGCATGTTTTTAAACACACCCAAAAATTTAGTACTGCTATGTTCTAGAAAAAAGCCATTTTAACTCTGTTACAATAGCTCCCATGGCCATGTAGCTTGACAAAAACCTCAGCGTATTGAAATTTCTTTAAAAAATAACCTGATGATAGTAAGATGGATTTCAGTAGCCTTTATTTTCCCCAGACATTCATACAGTAATACTTCATGTCTCCAGGTAGGCCTGATATAATGCTTTACTACTCAAAATAAGAACTGGGTAACTCTTTTATGTGCTTTGAAGTATTAGCCCAGAGAAGACAGAACTGAAGCTCAACATGATAGACAAGAAAAGCGGAGCAAAAACAGAGATGTCTCTAGGCAGGTACAACAGAGAAATGAATGGGTGTTCTACTCCAGCCCCCACTGATTGATTACAAGAGAAGAATGATCGTTGACTAATATTAGGGTTAAATGCCACATTTTCCATTGAACGCTCTGCTGTGTAAATTTTGAGAGAACCCCTTTTTTGGTAAGTAATTTTCACTGGTAATTAAGCATCAAGAATCTTTGAGCTTTTGTTTCATGTGTGTCCCCCTCCCCACAATACAGATGGATAAACAAAGTCTAGAGTGGTTAAATGGCTTTGGTCACTGAGCATAACACCCCCTCAACAGCCCAGAAGCAGGCCTTATCCGGTCACCTATCACCCTTTCTGTTCTCGTCAGGTACGTCATAAAAGTTAGAAAATGCCCGAGGAACCGGATGCTGGGCTTGGTCTGTTATATATTATTTGATTTCACGTCTTCAAGTTAAGTAACTTATACCATCTGCAATATGGCTTCTGGTTAGCTTTTAATGAAAGTACCTGTTTAAAACAAACAAAGCTTAACCATCCAGGGCAATCAAGGGAGGGGAGAGGAGGGGGGAAGCCAGGAGTGGACCTGAGTTGCATAGTAAGAAGGCTTGTGCTGAGGGTGGCTGTTCAGATACTGAAGCAAAGCTTGGAAGGGAGAGGACAGAAAAATGAAGCAGTTTGTTCTCTTATAGAAACTACTTTAAATTGTGAATGTTGATTAAGGTTCTGCTCCTACAGAAGGGAAAAACTCTGAGACAATGCTTTCAAGACTTATTTCCTGTCCATCCTTAATTTACTTGAAGTGTGTTTTAAATAGGGAGGTATGTATGGTAAGATAGGAGACTGGAAGAGCAGAGCAAAATTAAGAGGGTGGAAAATTGATTAATCAGGTGAACCCCCCCAAACTGTTCTGTAAACATTCCTGAACCAATAAATCTGTAATGCCTGTGTGGATAAGATGAATAAAAGAATGGAACAAGAGGGAAGCCAGGGATAGCATGAAGGGAGAGGGGAAGCAGAAGATGGCTGTTGTTTTAGAAGAGCAAGTTTGCTGCCTATGTATGGGTGAAGGGAGGAGGTCCTGCAAGGAATAAAAACAGTCATAAGAGACTCTCTCATTTCAGGCCACCTTTCTGTGATCTTCAGCACTGCATAAAACAACTTTCTGAAGCTGTAAGGGTTATAGAAAGCATTAATCCTTTCAGAGAAGACACAACTCATGTTGCAAATGTCCGTGTTGCTGTCCATAAGTGGTATGTTCACAAGGGCAGCCAACTTCTTAAGCACAATTTTAACAGGCAACTTGATGGAACATTTCAGTAACCAGCAGGCCCATGAGAAACATGCTGAACTAGGTCTGAATATCTCTGAACAGTAGTAGAATAAAAACGAACAGGTTTTTACCATTCACATGTGTGCAAAGCCTCTGGCATTGTAGAAGCTCTGTGCAGCCGAGCCTAAGTCCTGAGGTATAAGAACGTAGGTTCTCCCTGCTCCTCCTCCTCCTTCCCCACAGTTGGGGACCCCTGAGAGGACCACCTGGAGCAGCCTCTATATGAACCAGCTCTGAGTAGGTGCCCTGCCCCTGGCATGAGAGCCAGGTTCGGGCTGAGACAGTATTTCCTGTGCAGAGAGCAGCCCAGGTCCCGGGAGAAGGGAGACTGCTGAGGTGGTTTTGGGCCGCCAGTCCTGGGCTTCCCCTGCTGAAGCACAGTCAAGTCCAGAGGCTGTGGGGACCTGAGCTGTGGGTTGAGCCTGCTCAGCTTAGCCTCTTGGGTCTCCTCCCTGAGCCAAGCAGGGGCTGGAGGTAGCATCAGGGGAAGGACAGGGAAGACCTGCTTCAGCAATGCCTGCCTAGCAGGTAGGTGGCCCTGCCTCTCAGGCAGCGGTGACAATCGGGTTTTCTGTGCTCGGCAGCCTTGCCCATGCCTCTGACTATGTAGAGCGGCGGGCTCATGACCCTGGGCCAAAGAGCGCCTCGTGGCGCAGGTGCTCCTCCAGGCACTGCACCGCCTGCTCGTCCACACTCAGGTCAAACTTGTTGGCCAGCAGGTGCTGCTGCTGGAGCATCCAGGGCAGGTCCCCCAGGCCGTAGATGCAGATGGCGCGGCGGTGCGTGCCGGTGCAGGGCGGGTAGGGTGCCCCCCGCTGTATGTCGCCCTCCAGGTAGTGCCACTTGACTAAGCGCGCCAGGGAGTTCATGTCAGACAGCTCGTACTTGTCGTTGGGTGGCAAGGCGCCCGGCACGCCTGGCAGGCGCTGCAGCGTGGCCCACACGTGCTCGTCGGGGCTGTATGTGTCCTGGGCCCAGGCCAGCAGGTGCTGCGCCTCGGGGCTCTCCAGGACGTGGCGCACGAAGCCCCGTGTCACCACTATGTAGGCGTTACCCGTGAACATGTTGGCACTGCCCAGCGGCGGGGGGCTCTTGGTCACCCCGGTGCGCACCAGGGTGCCACTCTCAGACACTTGGTGCTGGTAGCGCCAGCGCTCGCGCTTGATGGCCGAGGGCCGCTCCGACTCCATGTTGTTGCGGCCGCGGAGCAGCTGCAGGGCCCGCACGATCTCGGCGTTGGTCTTGAGGGGGAAGTCGGTGCCGCAGGTGTTGAGCAGGTAGCGCCAGGGCTCGGGCCGGCGCAGCAGGTCCTCCATGCAGTTGAGGTCGGCCTGCAGGCGCGACCAGGACGCGTAGACGACGTGCTCCAGCCGGCTGGCCACGAAGACGTTGGGGAAGCAGGCGGCCAGGGCGCGCACGGCCTGCAGGAAGGCGGCGGGCGCCTTGGCGTCCACGTGCACGCAGTACAGGTTCTGCGGCGCGTACAGGGCCCGCAGCAAGCGCTCGAACAGCTCCAGCTGGTCGTGGATGACCATGGAGAAGGCGAGCGGGAAGGCCGCCTCCTCCTCGCTCAGCGCCACCTGCACGAAGCGCCGCCGGGCGCGGTAGCTCGCGCAGTCCGCCGTCAGGTTCAGGTAGTCGGCGGGCGTGAGCGGCGCCCGCCCGTCCTTGAGCGCCCGGCTGCTGCCCAGCGCGGCCCGCAGCGCCGCCTCGTCGCCGCGCACGATGCGCGAGCAGTTGA